TCTTAACTAGTTATTGTAGTTCACAAATATCTCAAACTTTGTGAAACATCCCTTTTTTTTTTTTTTTTGTCAAGCACTCAACAAAGAGTGTATTCAGTAGACACACACCATGCTGTGTTTGAGAGTGGTGTGTTCTTAGGATAGGGCAAGACTGTAACCTATTTTATCTCCACGTGGGTTCATAGGTCAGCCCAGACTCATGTTTATAAACAGTGTATTGTTGGAAGCAGCCGTGGAGTAGGCTTGTAATCACTTTGCCATTTGCAACCGAAAAGCTGCACCGCTGTCACACACTTATCAGCCTTAACTTGATTTCACACATCACTTGGGCAAGCAAGGCACTCTGTGGTAAGTAGCCTACTCTGCTTTCCTTGGATTGTTTGAATGGGAAAGGTTAGTATCACATTGTGTCACATTGATTTAACTGGACATCATTTTCTGCAGTTCATTTCCACTTTAATTGTCACATTGTTATATAGTGTGCAACAGGCTGCATTTGGCAATACGTTATTTCAATGTCTTGAAATAATTTTCTGTATATTGCTGGTGTTGCACAAGTGTATGAAGTCACTCAGATAAACTTTTTATATTTGTAAGAATCACACATTAGATGCATATTATCAAAGTAGCCCTTTGGTACCACTAAGCTAATGCATACTAGTATTTGCACCTCCTTATCCTAAGTCTGGGATAAGGAAGTTAGTCATTGATTAGCTCTGGTATTGGCAGCATTATCGACTGCTTGGGGAGAAGACTAGGGATCTGTACCAGGTTATCAGAATTGGCAGAGATACGCATGTTGATCTGACATATCACTACTACCACAAAGATTATCTGTAGGCCTAATCAGTATTATTAAAATAAAGTAGCCTGACGTAATGTAGCATGGGTACCAGACAGTCTTTCTTTGTGTATTATGTTTATAAATAATTGTATAATGATGCAGTACTCTACCCAGATCATAGCAAAAAGAACATGTCTTCATAATCTCAGTTACTGATATATATAAAAAAAAAAAAAAATGTATTGATGCACTGGTCCGTCAATCTAAGTAACATAATAAACAAATCCCCATCAAAATCTGTCAGTTTAAGAAAATATATCAATTTTTTTACAACCTGGAATTAAAATTGATTTTTGGGGGGTTTGTATCATTTGATTTACACAACATGCCTACCATTTTGAAGATGCAAAATATTTTTTCTTGTGAAACAAACAAGAAATAAGACAAAAAAAACAGAACTTGAGCGTGCATAACTATTCACCCCCCCCCCCCCCCCCCCCCAAAGTCAATACTTTGTAGAGCCACCTTTTGCAGCAATTACAGCTGCAAGTCTCTTGGTATGTCTCTATAAGCTTGGCACATCTAGTCACTGGGATTTTTGCCCATTCTTCAAGGCAAAACTGCTCCAGCTCCTTCAAATTGGATGGGTTCCGCTGGTGTACAGCAATCTTTAAGTCATACCACAGAATCTCAATTGGATTGAAGTCTGGGCTTTGACTAGGCCATTCCAAGACATTTAAATGTTTTCCCTTAAACCACTCGTGTGTTGCTTTAGCAGTATGCTTAGGGTCATTGTCCTGCTGGAAGGTGAACCTCGTCCCAGTCTCACATCTCTGGAAGACTGCAACTGGTTTCCCTCAAGAATTTCCCAGTATTTAGTGCCATCCATCATTCCTTCAATTCTGACCAGTTTCCCAGTCCCTGCCGATGAAAAACATGGATGGTGTTCTCGGGGTGATGAGAGGTGTTGGGTTTGCGCCAGACATAGCGTTTTCTTTGATGGCCAAAAAGCTAAATTTTTGTCTCATCTGACCAGAGTACCTTCTTCCATATGTTTGGGGAGTCTCCCACATGCCTTTTGGCGAACACCAAACGTGTTTGCTTATTTTTTTCTTTAAGCAATGGCTTTTTTCTGGCCACTCTTCCGTAAAGCCCAGCTGTACGGCTTAAAGTGGTCCTATGGACATATACTCCAATCTCCGTTGTGGAGCTTTGCACTCCTTCAGGGTTATCTTTGTTGCCTTGATTAATGCCCTCCTTGCCTGGTCCGTGAGTTTTGGTGGGCGGCCCTCTCTTGGCAGGTTTGTGGTGCCATATTCTTTCCATTTTTTAATAATGGGTTTAATGGTGCTCCGTGAGATGTTCAAAGTTTCGGATATTTTTTTATAACCCAACCCTGATCTGTACTTCTCCACAACTTTGTCCCTGACCTGTTTGGAGAGCTCCTTGGTCGTCATGTTGCCGCTTGCTTGGAGGTGCCCCTTGCTTAGTGGTTTTGCAGACTCTGGGGCCGTTCGGAACAGCTGTGTGTGTGTATATATACTGAGATCATGTGACAGATCATGTGACACTTAGATTGCACACAGGTGGACTTTATTTAACTAATTATGTGAATTCTGAAGTTAATTGGTTGCACCAGATCTTATTTAGGGGCTTCATAGCAAAGGGGGTGAATACATATGCACGCACCAGTTTTCCGTCATTTATTTTTTGAATCAAGTTATTTTTTTCATTTCACTTCACCAATTTGGTCTATTTTGTGTATTACATGAAATCCAAATGAAAATCAATTTAAATTACAGGTTGTAATGCAACAAAATGAAAAACGCCAAGGGGGATGAATACTTTTGCAAGGCACTGTACCTAAAGGGATCCTAAAAATCAAACTCAAATAGCTAAATGATCCATGGTATGACCATCTTCAAAAGATTCCATATGTCAGCTTAGACTTCTAAGAACTACTCTTGGAGATAATAATTGCGCATTTCTACTTTTCTTATGTCAATAACCGTACTGGTAGCATGTAAAGTTTTATATTAGAAGTTCTATTATGTCAATAATATAAATATTAGTCACATGCAACATTTTGCCCTCTTTGCAAAGCTAAACCTAGTCTTGTCTCGGCTCAATCTTTAAATATACTCTGAATCTACAGAACATGGAATGATAAGTCTGTCTCTAGCCTTCTTTATGTCAGTCTCTGTCCTTAAAGGTGCAATCTGGGATCTAGCAATCTGTTCAATGGTCAATTTGATTCTTGAAGAATATAATTTATAGATGCCTCATGAGATTAGCAAAACTGTCTAATTCTACCATAACCCAAATTGTAAGGTTGTATTACTCCAGGGTTTACAAACGACAAGAACGTAAACAATGTATGGTTACACAATACAGTGAGGGGAAAAAAGTATTTGATCCCCTGCTGATTTTGTACATTTGCCCACTGACAAAGACATGATCAGTCTATAATGTTAATGGTAGGTGTATTTGAACAGTGAGAGACAGAATAGCAACAACAAAATCCAGAAAAACGCATGTCAAAAATGTTATAAATTGATTTGCATTTTAATGAGGGAAATAAGTATTTGACCCCCTCTGCAAAACATGACTTAGTACTTGGTGGCAAAACCCTTGTTGGCAATCACAGAGGTCAGATGTTTCTTGTACTTGGCCTCCAGGTTTGCACACACCTCAGGAGGGATTTTGTCCCACTCCTCTTTGCAGATCTTCTCCAAGTCATTAAGGTTTCGAGGCTGACGTTTGACAACTCAAACCTTCAGCTGCCTCCACAGATTTTCTATGGGATTAAGGTCTGGAGACTGGCTAGGCCACTCCAGGACCTCAATGTGCTTCTTCTTGAGCCACTCCTTTGTTGCCTTGGCCATGTGTTTTGGGTCATTGTCATGCTGGAATACCCATCCACGACCCATTTTCAATGCCCTGGCTGAGGGAAGGAGGTTCTCACCCAAGATTTGACGGAACATGGCCCCGTCCATCGTCCCTTTGATGCGGTGAAGTTGTCCTGTCCCCTTGTTTCCACCTCCATGTTTGACGGTGGGGATGGTGTTCTTGGGGTCATAGGCAGCATTCCTCCTCCTCCAAACATGGCGAGTTGAGTTGATGCCAAAGAGCTCGGTTTTGGTCTCATCTGACCACAACACTTTCACCCAGTTCTCCTCTGAATCATTCAGATGTTCATTGGCAAACTTCAGACGGCCCTGTATATGTGCTTTCTTGAGCAGGGGGACCTAGCGGGAGCTGCAGGATTTCAGTTCTTCACTGCGTAGTGTGTTACCAATTGTTTTCTTGGTGACTATGGTCCCAGCTGCCTTGAGATCATTGACAAGACACCTTGGAGCCAGAAATCTTTCTGATTGAGAGGGGGTCAAATACTTATTTCCCTCATTAAAATGCAAATCAATTTATAACATTTTCGACATGCGTTTTTCTGGATTTTTTAAAATTTATTCTGTCTCTCACTGTTCAAATAAACCTACCATTTAAAAGTAGACTGATCATGTCTTTGTCAGTGGGCAAACGTACAAAATCAGCAGGGGATCAAATACTTTTTTCCCTCACTGTATGTTGTATATCAGATGAATGCTGTATAAATGACGTAGGACACAGCCCACTCCCAATGTTTTGAAAATGTAATAAAAATAAGTGATTTGGTAGTGTTGGATATGCTTTCAATCTGTGTCTTCAATTCGGTTGCTGGTCTACGGGCTTCAATGCCCTCTGTAGTTTGGCTTATTCAACTTTTGTCTGACGTCTGGGGTCTCTCCCCAGCACTAAGGTCTGTGTCTCTAGCACCAAAGCAAGGGTACCCTTGCTAACGATCCCCATTGCCTAACCCTGGTCTATGCAGTTAGTTATTCCTATTCAACTCCTCCAGTACGCCCCCCCCACCCCCCTATCCCTCTTACCCCCAGGCCTCTCTGGAGATCTTATGAAGATCATTTGACTGGAATGCTATGTCTGGCTCTGGCTGAAAAACATGAAGAAAAAAATATTTCTCACACTTTCTCCAGCTAGCTCTGTGGTGAGCTTATTGTGCTCAGGCTGCAATAAGATGAAAGCCCATTTGTCCTGTCTTTATTTTAAATCAGATTGGTTATTATGAGATCAATTGGGTAGCTACTTCATCAAGTACTAGGCTCATAACAAAGTTTCTTACAGGAGTGTGTGTGTGTGTGTTCTCTTTACCCCTTTTCAGGGGTGTCATAACGGGGAGACGATGCGGGTCCACGCTCACACCAAGTTCTGCTTCCTATGTGTGCTCACCTTCCTGTTCCACCAGTGCAGCCACTGCCACGGTGACAGTCAGCACCATCACCACGGCCATCACCAAGGCGACCATAGCGGTGCTGGCGAACATGATGGTCACGAGCACGCCCACAGCGACCTGCAGATCTCCCAGGCTACTTACGTGGGTGGAGGAGGGTCTGGCAGGGAAGTAGATGCGCAGAACAAGGAGAGTCCCGGCGAGGTGCTAGAGCTGGAGCAGCGCTTCTACATCCAGCAACTGTTCCGGCGCTACGGCCAGCGCGGCCAGCTGGACTTCCGTGGCTTCCAGAGCCTGCTGCTCAGCCTGGGTCTAGGGGAGGTGAAGGTGGTTGGCCTGGAGCACGAGGAGCTGGGCCATGATCACGTTGCCCACCTGGACCTGCTGGAGGTCCAGGAGGGGCTCCACTCACACTCGCCCACCCACGAAGAGCTAGGGCATGACCATGGGCACAGACACCAGCATCCACGGGGGAGGCCCCACGCACACTACCACCCACACACAGAGCCAGGGCCAACTCACTCCACCTGCAACCAACTGGTGACCGGTGCCAGTCCCACTGTAGATGATGGTCCGCTGGATGATCATGACCACAAACATGACCACGGCCCGTTAAAAGACAATGACCACACTCATGATCATGATCACAATCATGACCACGAACAAGACAAAGAGCACAAACACAATGAGAGCCAACAACTCAACCATGAAGTCCACAGCAACAAGACTCAGCCTCATCACGACCATGATCATGAACACTACCATGATCATGACCATGACCTCAAACCCCACACACATCCCCATCACTCACAAAACAGCACAGAAAACACAGACAGTCATCCAGCACATCAAGAGCAGCCACCCACAGCCCCGGCACAGCCCACACAGGCACTCCAGGAGCAGCAACCAGGGGCCGAGGCTTCAGAGGCCCCCATTGCCAAGCCCTCTGCCCCACCTACCCTACCTCCAGAATCCAAGCCGAAGAGGCCAAGGAAACCCAAAGGCCACCGGGCCCGAAACCAAGACCATCATGTCCATAGTGAGGAACATGACCACGACCACGTGCATGGTCACAGTCTTAGTCCTGTGCCTAGGGGGAAGAGGGCGGCAGGTGAGCCCCACGTGAGCCCCACGTTACCGGTGCCAGCCATGCCCAGGCATCAAGAGGACGTGGCTCACCGGCATGAGGAGGTGGGGCTTATTTATTTGATGTATGATGAATACACAAAATGTATATATATAGTAAATGGATTTGCTTTAACTGAGTAGTAAAGGATTTATAATGTAATGACATGGTAGATGGTACTGTTTGTGATAAACCTTTTCTCCTCTCTCCACCATCTCTCCCTCCCTCCTTCCTCCAGTGTCTGAATCTGACCAGGCTCCTCAACTACTATGGCCTGAGTCCAGACTCACGCATCTCGCCCAGCCAGTTCACCTACCTGTGCCCGGCACTGCTCTACCAGATTGACAGCCGCGTCTGCATCCGCCACTATCACCAGGTGGACGTGGGGCAGGCCGCCCTGGAGCCAGCCAACTCCGGTAAGGCCCTGTGACTTCACTCGGCGACAGTAATGCATTTATGTAGCCCTCATCATAAGGATCTTACCTCGTCTACTAACAATGTGACCATTGTGACTTTTATGTCAATAATGAGACAATTGAGGTACTAATTCCCAAAAGCATACACAATGTTATTGGATTGTTCTGTGGACGTTAGGCTTTGAAACTATGTTTTGAATGGTGCCACTCACACATGGGTGGCAGTATTAGGCCCTTTTTGCGCAATAGATGTATCATTCACACACTTCTGTACACACTTCGCTTCGGTTACACACAAACACAATGAACACAGCAAACTACAGTATTTGTTCAGGAAATACAACCCCGCTTGTTAAGTAGCACACAGTGAGCTTGAAGGCTCTTCTGTGTCGAGTGAGAACACATACTCAGAAACATGCCAATAGCCTTGTGACAGTGTCATGATTTGGCATGTGCCATAAACTTGGGCATAAAAGTTATTTGCCATCAGCATTGCCCAGGGCTCTGCTGAACCTTGCCAAAACATAAGGGCTGCTCAAAGGTTGATCTTATGTTGTTGCCCTTTTATTGGTGTGGTGAATTGATACTACTTGGGGCTGGATAGGCCTAGGTGTTTTTCTGTTTTGACATGCATATGATGCAATGACACTCTCAGTACTGCAATTCAGCTTTTAGCTGCCAAGTACTACTACTACTAAAGTGTTCTTACCCATGACACTACATCAAAATGGCAAAGGATTTGGACAACAGCATTTAGCAAAATTGCCAAGCAGGGAATACTTCCTGTCGAAACTTGCATTTGAAACAATGTGAAGAATTATCTTCCAACTCGCTTAATCATATCACATGGTCTCCATTGGTTATATCACAGTAGCTCCATTGTTTTCAAATTTTATGTTTTTATTTTTTATTCAAACATTTCAGAGCGTAAGCCGAACATTATTGAAATCAGCAAGGCCAATTCAGTTGTACGTCTCAAGGCCCCTCAATGCTCATTAAACGGCAGGGTTCCAAACTGTTTTGTGAGGGATTGGAGAAGGCTATCAAACCACCGCACTGTGAAGTGCCATGGGTGTAAATAAAATAGCCTTCCTCTAGGGATGTAACGATTCACCGATAGGCATCGGTCGCTGATTCAAATATTTAAAATACTAGTGGTTCGGTCTTCAGATCCAAATGTAGCATGCATTGGTCAGAAATAGATTCAAACGTTATGAATTGGCGGTTCACTTTTTTTTGTTGTTGCTCGTATTACATGCTTTATACGTTCTGAAAATACCTCTATTATTTTGTGACAACTTAGCATGTCACAACTAAGCATGTAACTGTGTTGACAGTCATTGATCTACAAGTCATTTTGCATGCCGAAAAACTCCAGGCAATATCAGTAGTCAAACTGCACACTGTGCCCAGCTTTGAGCGCTGACCAACGAGAGGTAGATGGCCTGTTCTTGCACATCAGTGAAGCACCTTCATCATTCAAATGCAAAAATGGCTTGTGTGATATTAGGCTTTATTAGTTGAGTGACAACCTATGTAAGTTGCTAGTTTATAATTGTTATCTATGCACTGTTGAAAATCGTGTTTTACCGGAATGAAAGTAAGCTACCGGAGATAACGCTAATCTGGCTATACAGTGCCTTCAGAAAGTATTCATACCCCTTGACTTATTCCACATTTGGTTGTTAAAGCCTGAATCTTTTTTTTTTTTTTTTACACACAATACCCAATAATGACAAAGTGAAAATATGTTTTTAGACATTTTTGCAAATGTATTGAAAATTAAATGCAGAAATACATCATTTGCATAAGTATTCACACCCCTGAGTCAATACTTTGTAGAAGCACCTTTGGCAGCGAATAGAGCTGTGAGTCTTTCTGGGTAAGTCTCTAAGAGTTTTCCACACCTGGATTGTGCAACATTTGCCTATTCTTTAAAATAAATCTTCAAGCTCTGTCAAATTGGTTGTTGATCATTGCTAGACAACCATTTTCAGGTCTTGCCATAGATTATCAAGTAGATTTAAGTCAAAACTAACTCTGCCACTCAGGAACATTTACTGTCTTTTTGGTAAGCAACTCCAGTGTAGATTTGGCCTTGTTTTAGGTTATTGTCCTGCTGAAAGGTGAATTCATCCCCCAATGTCTGGTGTAAATCAGACTGAACCAGGTTTTCCTCTAGGATTTTGCCTGTCCTTAGATCTTTTTTTTTTTTTTTTTTACTCAAAAACTCCTCAGTCCTTAACGATTACAAGCATACCCATAACATGATGCAGCCACCACTATTCTTGAAAATATGGAGTGTGGTACTCCGTAATGTGTTATTGGATTTTCCTCAAACATAATTTTTTTCCTGGATACAAAGTGTTAATTGCTGGTCCACATTTTTTGCAACTTTAGTGCCTTGTTGCAAACAGGATGCATGTTTTGGAATATTTGAATTCTGTAAAGATCAAATCTTTAATCGATGAGAAAGTTAGCAGAATGTCGGCCAAAATCCATCTTGTTCTATCTTCTCCAACTGCCGGCCACTGGGCTTCTTCTCATCACCATATTTGGTAGTGAGTGGAAACGCCAACCGGATGCTTTATGCATCCAGTGAAATATCTGGCTCATTGTACTATCTATGCCTGTATCTTTGTAGTGACTGGGTGTATTGATACACCATCCAAATTGTAAAAACTTCACCATGCTCAAAAGGATATTCAATGTCTGCTTTTTTTTTTTCTTTTTTTTTACCCATCTATCAATAGGTGCCCTTTCTTTGCGAGGCATGGGAAAACATCCCTGGTCTTTGTGGTTGAATCTGTGGTTGAAATTCACTGCCAAACCTTACAGATAATTGTGTGTGTGGCGTACAGAGATGAGGGAGTCATGAAAACATCATGTTAAACACTATTGCACACAGAGTGATTACATGCAATTTATTATGTGACTTGTTAAGCACATTTTACTCCTGAACTTATTTAGGCTTGCCATAACGAAGGGGTTGAAAACGTATTGACTCAAGACATTTCAGCTTTTCATTTTTTATTAATTTGTAAACATTTTGAAAAACATAGTTCCACTTTGACATTATGGGGTATTTAATTCAGGCTGTAACACAACTAAATGTGGAAAAAGTCAAGGGTTGTAAATACTTTCTGAAGGTACTGTAAATCTTTCATTATCACACAAACTCCAGAGTCCTGATGCAACAATTGTGCTGTGGGGCTGAAGACAACAATAAAAATGGTTTCAAAGAAGGTGATTTAAGATGGAACTGAAAAAGGCAAGAGGGCACGGATGACTCCTCATTAGTGAAGCACTGGAGTCTCTCCCACTGGGGAGACCCCCCTCTCGTTTACCCCTGCGGACTTCCACTGGGGTGCTCAGAAAATGTTCTGTTAAGTTTTCTCATTCTTTTTTTTTTCTCTTACTTCCACTGAGGACAGTCTTTCTTTCTGAGCCGCGGCTTGAAGGAGAAGCATAATTGGAGTGAGGACACGGACCAGTTGTTCTCTTCTCTCTCCCTCCTTCCCCATATTTCCACCCGGCTCTTCCTGATGGGAGTAATGAGAGGGGGGAGTATGAGTTATGTGAGTGTGAAGGACCTGCCAGTGATGTACTGTCTGTCTGATTTACAGTTGCCTCAGGATTATAGGGCGTTTTGCCTGATGCGACAAATAAGATATTGCTCAATGGTAGCAACTGCCTCTGTGGCAAGATGATACATTTCAAAACAACTGACATGTTGCAAGAGAACGAAGTATTGTCATGTACTATAAGGGTCAGTTACTTGGCACTAAACCCAACACTCATTGAAATACTAAGGTGGGCACGAATGTCATTTAAAGAATTATGTTTATTCACAAATAAATCAGCTGGCATACAGAATAAAACCAAAATTCCAACAAATCAAATAATGTATAGACTCAGGCTGCATCCCAATACTCATATCATACTATCTAGTATGCCTGTACATTTCATATGTCCCATTACATAGTGGGCTATATTTTCGGATTGCACTAAGGAGGCACAAGTGTCAAACGCGCGTTAGTTTGCAATTTCGTCATGTAAAAACTGGCGCACTGGCAGCCCTAAAGCCAGGTTCGGCAATTTACCTGTCTAATATCCGCTCGCTTGTGCTGACGTGGGAGGGGTGGCAATATTTGAGGTGTGTCCTGAAAAACAAGCGCAAAAGTGACCATTTCATGCAGCGCTAATGGTTTTTAATCGTCCCACAAAAAAAATGCAACAAAGCGCCTATTCAAAGCCCTAACTTTGTCACTCAAACATATTCCAGTGTCTGCCTGCAAGCTGAAAATCTTAGCCAGTGTGTGTGTTTTTAGGCTAACTGCCCCTCCCCCCTCTGAAGCATAGGCTACTGTACTGACGTACAAGCGTGATTCAGAAGATAGGGAGAGACATGTTTAATTAGCTAGAGAGAAATTGATAAACTTTTTCAATGCTAGTTAAGGATACTATAGGCTTAGTTATCCTGTTTCACGTTGGATTTATTAACTACAAAAAGTTAAGACATGCCGCTCTGTACACACAAAATTTGTCGCATCTTGTGCCATAGTCTAGACTTGTCTGTCCATCACGCATGTAAACAACTAGATTGTCTGCACTGATTGGTGAAGTAACTGAATGAATTACATGTAAAAAAAAAAAAAAAAAATTATAATAATATGATTTCACAGGTTAAAAAAGGAACAATTATAAACCAGTACTTTTTTTGGTTTGAACTGGTTCAGAACTTTATTTTTCTGGTCAAAAAAGTGGAACAGAACCATAAAGAATATTGGTTCTGTTCAGAATGAAACGATTGGAAAATAATTTGGTTTCCAACCTCTGGTTTTAATACCCCCAAAAAGCAGGTTTTAATAGTAACACAGTTGATAATGGCATGGATTTTGAGAGCCGAAGCGCATGCTATCCAGCCATGACGCACAGTGCCCATGGAAGAGAGATGTGTCTTGTGCCAGTGAATGTTGTATTTAGAAACAAACTATTG